CGGTCGACCGAGCGGACAGCACGCTGGACTTGTGATCTTGTGTTCCCGGGTTCGATCCCGGGCGCCGGCGAGAAACAATGGGCAGAGTTTCTTTCACCCTATGCCCCTGCTACCTAGCAGTAAAATAGGTACCTGGGTGTTAGTCAGCTGTCACGGGCTGCTTCCTGGGGGTGGAGGCCTGGTCGAGGACCGGGCCGCGGGGACACTAAAGCCCCGAAATCATCTCAAGATAACAAAAGCTTATGTGTTTACAGAATGGCCCCTATTTCTGTCTTAAAAAAATCGAAAAGCAATAGGAGATGTATTTTAGGATTAAATATAAATTTATTCTGTATTTTGGTGTATCTTCTTGAGGTTATCTTGAGATGATTTCGGGGCTTTTAGTGTCCCCGGGGCCCGGTCCTCGACCAGGCCTCCACCCCCAGGAAGCAGCCCGTGACAGCTGACTAACACCCAGGTACCGATTTTACTGCTTACTGTTGTAGATTGACTGGTAGGCGGTGTTGCAGGGATATAGGAAGGGGAAATAGTTAAGCTTGCTAACAGGAGTCACTGTACTCCTGTATATCCACCACTGGAAGGGTTGTCTCCTGGATAAATGACCCAACCACTTATATGAACCACGCAAGACTTAAACGGCATCTTCCGAGACAGACCTTGACCAGGGCTGTTGTATAATACATCACCACGGCGCTTGTAGATAATACATCACAGGACAGCTACAGCTCCTGTATACTTATACATAGCATTTCTCCTATGCTCGCCAGCCATGTATAGATCCCACGATGGTTGGAAAACAGGAACGGAACAACATGAATAAACATCTAGAAGCTACCGACGATGTATTAACTGGCACCACTGTCCACAAACATACATATGTACATGTATATGTAAATACATACGTGCACGCATACATATGAGGTGACGTCTCTTTGTTTATAAGCCATCATAACCAAGACTAATCCAGTGTCAAGTCTGGATCAGACTTGATTAACTTTTGTCTTAACTTCTCTGAGAAAACTTTCCCAGTCTTTTAGTTTTCAATTTATTTGATTTATTTCTTGCAACTTTTTTTTGCAAAAGTTGCAAAGTTGCATGGGATAGTTTTTTGTTCAGTTTAGTTCATTTATAATTTATCACATAACCCATCCTGCGAGTGGTAGTTCATCCCATCCCTATCCAGTGACTGATAGTGCACCCCATACCCATCCTGGAAAAGATAATGCACCCCCTACCCATCCTGGAAAAGATAATGCACCCCATACCCATCCTGGAAAAGATAATGCACCCCCTACCCATCCTGGAAAAGATAATGCACCCCCTACCCATCCTGGAAAAGATAATGCACCCCATACCCATCCTGGAAAAGATAATGCACACCATCCTGGAAAATATAATGCACCCCATACCCATCCTGGAAAAGATAATGCACCCCATACCCATCCTGGAAAAGATAATGCACCCCATACCCATCCTGGAAAAGATAATGCACCCCATACCCATCCTGGAAAAGATAATGCACCCCATACCCATCCTGGAAAAGATAATGCACCCCATACCCATCCTGGAAAAGATAATGCACCCCATACCCACGTCCTGGAAAAGATAATGCACCCCATACCCATCCTGGAAAAGATAATGCACCCCATACCCACGTCCTGGAAAAGATAATGCACCCCATACCCACATCCTGGAAGAGAATATAATATATATATCATATATGTATAAATATATATAAATAATATATCAATTATAAAATATTGCATTTACACAAAGTATGCACGCGCGCGCGCACACGCACGCCTAACGAATTGCAAAAGCTTCCACCTTTAATAAGATGGAAAGTTGCAGTTCATTAAAATATAATGAGAAAGGGGGGGGTGTGGGGGTGGTTGGGGAGGAGGGGGGTGGGGGGAGGGAGGGGGGGGGGGGGGGAGGGAGGGGGGGAGGGAGGGGGGGAGGGAGGGGGGGAGGGGGGGGGGAGAGGGGAGGAACGGCCTACTAATTAATAATGATAAATGACAGAAGCAGCCATGAGATATCATTAGATATCATTAGATATCATTAGATATCATTATCTCCAACCAACACGTTACGGAGAGTAATTCAGTAATCTCATTAACAACATCGACAAAGACAATATCAATGACTACCTCAGGACAAAGGTCGTAGGTGGAGACGACGACCACGACGATGATGCAATGGTTTCGGATCATAATTAGCCCATCTTATGCGTGGTTTAACGATAACGAGAACGTGTACCCCATGGTAAGGTAATCAATGAGGTAGTGATGGATGGTTGCTAACGATGCCACAGTCGTTATCAGTCGCTTCTCAAGGGTCGTACCAGCTCACCAGAAGGTTCCGCCCCCCCCGCCCCCCTCATCCATATTCTTCTGATAGCATTACAAATCTTAATAATTAATATAGAAACCAATAATGAGACCTTGGCGACATTCCTGCCAATATGATGAGACAATAGGCTGGTTATCCATCAGCTGGGTTATCCAACAGCCGAGTTATCCAACAGGCGAGTTATCCAGACAATCGGGGCTCCAAATCCACTCAATTTGATAACCAGAGCATCTCTCATCTCATCTCATCTCATCGTGGCAGCCTCCCACTACCAACTGGGACTCCTGTAACTATGTCAACCTGCCCCCCCCACCAGCATCCTACATTAACCATATAACAAACTTCTCAAGAATCAAACTATCAATTCAGAGGGCGCTCCGCCCCCCTACTTTTCAGTTAGAGAGAAATTCCTCAGGAACAATGGAAGTACCTTCGATATTTCTCTTTCACACACACACACACACACACACACACACACACACACACACACACACACACACACACACACACACACACACACACAGATGGTTCAATGCAAAACAATTTTGGAGAATCAGCAAGTAAAAATAAAAACTTATAGGCAATGCAAGCTTGCACTGTGTGTACACTATCAAGCCAATATAGGCAGTGTGTGTACACTATCAAGCCAATATAGGCAGTGTGTGTACACTATCAAGCCAATATAGGCAGTGTGTGTACACTATCAAGCCAATATAGGCAGTGTGTGTACACTATCAAGCCAATATAGGCAGAGTGTGTACACTATCAAGCCAATATAGGCAGAGTGTGTACACTATCAAGCCAATATAGGCAGAGTGTGTACACTATCAAGCCAATATAGGCAGAGTGTGTACACTATCAAGCCAATATAGGCAGAGTGTGTACACTATCAAGCCAATATAGGCAGTGTGTGTGTACACTATCAAGCCAATATAGGCAGAGTGTGTACACTATCAAGCCAATATAGGCAGAGTGTGTACACTATCAAGCCAATATAGGCAGAGTGTGTGTGTACACTATCAAGCCAATATAGGCAGTGTGTGTGTACACTATCAAGCCAATATAGGCAGTGTGTGTACACTATCAAGCCAATATAGGCAGAGTGTGTGTGTACACTATCAACAACAGTCACAAAGGGAATATACCTGACTAGGATTTTGCCTGACATGTCATTGGGGATAAATTACATGGATATATCTTGAACTTGAGTGACAGCATCATCTCTTTAATCCTTGGATTTGTTGACATTCGGTTACATATTGGCGTGAGGTATATGGAGACCTTTGCTGAGAATGTAAATATGTGGGAGGTTACGCCATAAGAATCCGACAGTCCGAGCGCCAATATTGTGGAGCGACTTAACCAAGATATATGGATAGTGAAAATATGTTTATTTTTGTCCATGTTCTACATTCAGGTCCAATATTATAGTGAGTACATATGTCATATTGCTTCCTTACTTTATGGTAATGCTGGGAGGCTTTGGGAAAATTCTACGGATCGCTTCGTAAGTCAAAAACTGTACTTATCCAACTGTTTCCTTACATATTCCCTGCTTCCTGACACTCATTATGTCTACTCATCTTCTTAGCCCTCCCTGCAATCATCAATCATCACATTTACACACGATTGAACCCTCTTCACTAAATACACCTTTCTCGAACTTACGATTTACAAACACGACTTTTTAAACCGAAAATATGCCAATTACTGAGAGCGGCGATGGGTCACATTTTGCCCAAACCCCAAACTCTTAACCCCTAACTACGGTATTTTCACGCCCTGTTCGCTCATGTTAATACCTTTCACACCTGATGTTTTCACGCCCACTCGATCCTTCTAACACCACCTACAACCCCTTTCCAGAGGAGTTTCACTATTCAATTCTTGAAACCCCACAAAATGCTCTTCAGTTGGTCGGTTCTTTCTGTAATAATTCATTATGGTTCTTCGCCTCTCCGTACCAGGGTAGCCACCATCACAGCGCCTTCATGTTGCTCCAGCGTTAGCTCACTCCTGCCTTAGCCTAGGGCCAGATTCACGAAGCAGTTACGCAAGCACTTACGAACCTGAACATCTTTTCTCAATCTTTGGCGGCTTTGTTTACAATTATTAAACAGTTACTGAGCTCTGAAGCACCAGGAGGCTGTTTATAACAATAACAACAGTTGATTGGGAAGTTTTCATGCTTGTAAACTGTTTAATAAATGTAATCAAAGCCGTCAAAGATTGAGGATAGATTACACGTTCGTAAGTACTTGCGTAACTGCTTCGTGGATCTGGCCCCTGGTTGCTCTAGCGTTAGCTGACTCCTGCCTTAGCCTGGTTGCTCCAGCGTTAGCTGACTCCTGTCTTAGCCTAGTGACACCAGTAACTACTTCTTTCCTTCTCTTTCTCTGCTCTCATCTATTGCACTAATTTCTTTTTGCAAATTATTACGGAACTATTATATTAATCGACCGCTTCTAGCTCTTCTGAATTTACACATTCTATGCCTTCATTTATACCTCTTTATGACTCATTTAACCCTTTATAACTCCATTTATCCCGATTTTTGACACCATTTATCCCTTTATGCCTTCTATACACTCTCTCCACCTTTATTTTACCTGTACACACACACTTGGCCAATAACTTGGGAGTTTTCACTCACACGTCAACTTGGAGGATATACACTCACACGTCAACGTGGATATACACTCACACGTCAACTTGGAAGATATACACTCACACGTCAACTTAGATATACACTCACACGTCAACTTGGATATACACTCACACGTCAACGTGGATATACACTCACACGTCAACTGGGATATACACTCACACGTCAACTTAGATATACACTCACACCTCAACTTGGAGGATATACACTCACACGTCAACTTAGATATACACTCACACGTCAACTTAGATATACACTCACACGTCAACTTAGATATACACTCACACGTCAACTTAGATATACACTCACACGTCAACTTAGATATACACTCACACGTCAACTTAGATATACACTCACACGTCAACTTAGATATACACTCACACGTCAACTTGGAGGATATACACTCACACGTCAACTTGGATATACACTCACACGTCAACTGGGATATACACTCACACGTCAACTTGGATATACACTCACACGTCAACTTGGATATACACTCACACGTCAACTTGGAGGATATACACTCACACGTCAACTTGGAGGATATACACTCACACGTCAACTTGGATATACACTCACACGTCAACTGGGATATACACTCACACGTCAAGGAACTTGTAGGAATAGACAGTATAATTATTATAGCTAAATCAAAAGGTTTCAAGTACACAATAGAATTCCATCCCAATATCAAGGCGCCCCCCTAGGTCAAACCAGTTGACCACTTCCCGTCAGTTGTCTAACTCCTAGGTGAACAAAAGCATCAGGTAATAGGGGGGGAACATGTCTGGCCTGCCAGAGGATTGAATCTGGGTTTATCGATTGCGAGTCGAAGACGTAGAATACTCCGCCATCAAACTCCGTAACCTCCAATCAACGTCATTTCCTTAAAGAAAAAATATATAGTGGATTATCTATGTGAATTAATAGGTATTGAATTGAAATTGAAATTGAAATAAGTTTATTGAGGTAAAATACACACAAAGGGATGATTTTACCTCAATAAACTTATAATACGCAGTTGTAGCTTGAATGGCAGCACAATAGGATCCTCTTAGCAGTAGTAATGAGCTCTTTATGATAATTACAATTAATATAATTTACTAATTAACAAAGGCATTTGTATTTAAAAAAAACGAGATACCATGAAAGTTGGATACTTAAACATAAGTGTGTGGTTTTTTTTTTTTTTTTGCTTGGGGAGGGGGGGGGGCTGGTGTTGGAAGATAACATGCTGAACAATTTGGCAGTCTCTTTATTCTTGTATTAAATGCTAAAGAGAATATAGAGCAAAGATTCTTTACAACAAAGCCTTCAAGAAATACAATGTAATTATCTTGTAATTCTTTCGAGTAATGCAAGATTAGTTTTCTCGTAAATGTACTGATAAAAGATTAGTAATGTTGTAAATGTACCGAGTGATAAACGATTAGTTATTCTGTAAATCAACTGATAAACGATTAGTTATTCTGTAAATCAACTGATAAACGATTAGTTATTCTGTAAATCAACTGATAAACGATTAGTTATTCTGTAAATCAACTGATAAACGATTAGTTATTCTGTAAATCAACTGATAAACGATTAGTTATTCTGTAAATCAACTGATAATCGAATAGAAACCTTGTAAATTTACAGACGCATTGTAAATTAACACAGACAAAAACTTTGTAAATGTACAGCCAAATAGGATGAGGCAACGTTGTAAATTTACTGACAAACAAGAAAGTTTGTAAATCTACTGAATGTCGACCAATTCGTAATTTTAACTCATCTCACAAGCAACAAACAGGGTTAAAAACAAAAATAACAAATGAGACAGTATCTTATCTTGAGGTTATCTTGAGATGATTTCGGGGCTTTTTAGTGTCCCCGCGGCCCGGTCCTCGACCAGGCCTCCACCCCCCAGGAAGCAGCCCGTGACAGCTGACTAACACCCAGGTACCTATTTTACTGCTAGGTAACAGGGGCATAGGGTGAAAAGGCAAGTAATTAGACAATGTGCAATCTTACATACTGATGAACACCAAAATGGTGTTACGTAATTAGGAAGATAATTAATGTTGCAGGATTTTTTTTAGTTTTAATTTCGAGTGCCTTTTTTCGTATAACCAAAAAAATTTTGGTCACAGAAGGTCAGGTCATCGTGGGTCACTAATTTGGGTCCAGCATCTTGATCTGGAGATCAATAATAGGCGGAGGCTGAGATGAGAATGAGAGACAAGATTCAATTCACTGGCTTTGGTATATACAGACACACACTACCTTCTTCAGACCCTCTTTATCACCTCCTTTCTATATCCCTCTCTATTATCTCCCTATCACTCTCACTTCTTCTTGAGGCTATCTTGAGATGATTTCGAGGCTTTAGTGTCCCCGCGGCCCGGTCCTCGACCCCCAGGAAGCAGCCCGTGACAGCTGACTAACTCCCAGGTACCTATTTACTGCTAGGTAACAGGGGCATTCAGGGTGAAAGAAACTTTGCCCATTTGTTTCTGCCTCGTGCGGGAATCGAACCCGCGCCACAGAATTATGAGTCCTGCGCGCTATCCACCAGGCTACGAGGCCCCTATATTAAATACTTCCCCCCATATATTAAACCCTATCCCCCCTATCCTCCTCACTGTAACCCATTGCTTACCAACTCCAAAAAACCCCATCAACCCCACACACCTGTGAAAATCCACTCGTCAACCTCCTCCTCTCCAACTGAACTGGACGGTCTCGTTTCCTGCAGGTCAGCGTTCGATCCCCCGACCCCACCTCTCCTTCCTCCTCAATGTATAAACTCCCAGCATCATTATGCATGTACGTAACGCCGCCCAGTTCCGCACGCCCGGACTCCCCGTGTCCTGCACGAGTCACTTACACATACTGATTGCTTCGCTGCACATTCGAATTGATGGAGTTGCAGAGGTAAGGATTGCAATATGGAGGGAAACCTCGCGTCGCCGTGTCGCGGTGTCTAATACCGCGCACTGCGCAGGGTGATGCGTATTTGTTTGAGGTAAGGTCATTTATTATGGATGCTGTACCTATTCTGTGGGTGGGAGTGAATTCCATGATCATTCTGTGAGTAAAAGTATAGATTTCAAGCTTATTCTGTGAGTGGTAGTGAGCCCCATACTCATCCTGTGAGGGGTAGTGATCCCCATACTCATCCTGTGGGTGGTAGTGGACCCCCATACCCATCCTGTGAGTGGAAGTGAGCCCATACCCATATTGTGAGTGATAGTGGACCAAATACCTGTCCTGTGAGTGGTAGTGGACCACATACTCATCCTGTGAGTGGAAGTGAGCCCCATACTCATCCTGTGGGTGGTAGTGGACCCCCATACCCATCCTGTGAGTGGTAGTGGACCCCCATACCCATCCTGTGAGTGGTAGTGGACCCCCATACCCATCCTGTGAGTGGTAGTGAGCCCCATACCCATCCTGTGAGTGGTAGTGGACCCCATGTCCTGTGAGGGGTAGTGGACCCCATACCCATCCTGTGAGTGGTAGTGGACCCCCATACCCATCCTGTGAGTGGTAGTGAGCCCCATACCCATCCTGTGAGTGGTAGTGGACCCCATGTCCTGTGAGGGGTAGTGGATCCCATGCCCATCCTGTGAGGGGTAGTGGACCCCATACCCATCCTGTGAGTGGTAGTTGACCCATACCCATCCTGTGGGTGGTAGTGGACCTCCATACTTATCCTGTGAGTAGTAGTGGACCCCATACTCATTCTGTGAGTGGTAGTGAACCCCCCATACTCATCCTGTGAGTTTTATTGGACCCCATACCCATCCTGTGAGGGGTAGTGGACCCCATACCCATCCTGTGAGGGGTAGTGGACCCCATACCCATCCTGTGAGTGGTAGTGGACCCCCATACCCATCCTGTGAGTGGTAGTGAGCCCCATACCCATCCTGTGAGTGGTAGTGGACCCCATGTCCTGTGAGGGGTAGTGGATCCCATGCCCATCCTGTGAGGGGTAGTGGACCCCATACCCATCCTGTGAGTGGTAATTGACCCATACCCATCCTGTGGGTGGTAGTGGACCTCCATACTTATCCTGTGAGTAGTAGTGGACCCCATACTCATTCTGTGAGTGGTAGTGAACCCCCCATACTCATCCTGTGAGTTTTAGTGGACCCCATACCCATCCTGTGAGGGGTAGTGGACCCCATACCCATCCTGTGAGGGGTAGTGGACCCCATACCCATCCTGTGAGTGGTAGTGGACCCCCATACCCATCCTGTGAGTGGTAGTGGACCCCATACCCATCCTGTGAGTGGTAGTGGACCCCCATACCCATCCTGTGAGTGGTAGTGAACCCCATACCCATCCTGTGAGTGGTAGTGGACCCCATACCCATCCTGTGAGTGGTAGTGAACCCCATACCCATCCTGTGAGTAGCAGTTTAAAAGGTTAAATAAAAGTAAGTATTAGATTAAGGAGCTAAACAAAATAAAATACTTTAGCTAATGAGATCAAAACAACAATGAACTAGTTATAGATTCGTTAAGATGCTTAATTAACGTGGCGCAGTGGTAACACACTAGCCCCTCGCCTCGGGAGCCATGTAGACTGGGTTCGAATCCTAGATAAAGAGGACTGACTGGGCGCCAGCCCTTAACCATTTGCTTATTTTCACCCAGCAGTAATTGGATACTTGGTTGCTAACTGATTGGCTGGACGTGTTCTAGGGAAAACTAGTAAGGTGAGGCTGGCTATAGGAAGGAAAAGTTTTAACTCTGTTAACAGGAGTCAAAAGGCATCTAATCCTGTATACCTTCCTATGTAAAAAAAAAAATAGCATTGAACGTCATGATAAAACGATTTGAATGTATGATGTATGATACATAGGGAAGGTTACCTTGAGGTTATCTTGAGATGATTTCGGGGCTTTAGTGTCCCCGCGGCCCGGTCCTCGATCAGGCCTCCACCCCCAGGAAGCAGCCCGTGACAGCTGACTAACACCCAGGTGCCTATTTTACTGCTAGGTAACAGGGGGCATAGGGTGAAAGAAACTCTGCCCATTGTTTCTCGCCGGCGCCCGGGATCGAACCCGGGACCACAGGATTACAAATCCAGTGTGCTGTCCGCTCGGCCGACCGGCCCCCTGGAACAAGTGTTGCATTACCCAAAGCTGCCACGTACACATGTGTTATGACAACACTGTGTTGTGCTGGAAAGTTGGGAAACACTTCACTTGCACGAGTGCATTTGTTTTGCACAAGAACTTAACGTTCCTCGGGCCTCGTAGCCTGGTGGATTGCGCGCAGGACTCGTAATTCTGTGGCGCGGGTTCGATTCCCGCACGAGGCAGAAACAAATGGGCAAAGTTTTTTTCACTCTGAATGCCCCTGTTACCTAGCAGTAAATAGGTACCTGGGTGTTAGTCAGCTGTCACGGGCTGCTTCCTGGGGGTGGAGGCCTGGTCGAGGACCGGGCCGCGGGGACACTAAAGCCCCGAAATCATCTCAAGATAACCTCAAGATAACCTTCCGCTACGAATTGATTCATGCAAAACTGCTTCATGGCCAATTTGTCCCCCAAAAAATTATGTTTCATACAAACGTAGAACAAATAAATCGCCTATGAGAAGGCGGCCAAGCCTGCACATCATGTTATAATTAACAAGAACCTTCCTATCACAGCCCAACTTAACTAAACATTAACAGAAACCCACCTATTACTCTGCCAACCCGTTCTCGCACTTTCGTATAGTCAATATTGACTTATTAAATACTTGCATATGTGACATACTAATTTATTGTGAATATTTTAGTTTACCTTGAAAAGCTTCATAGAAAACACCGACCTTACCTAACCTTCTTAGTATGTTAAGATAAGCATCTTATTGCTTCGTAATTACAATTATTACTTAACCTGTTATAAGTTATGTTAAGATAAGCATCTTATTGCTTCGTAATTACAATTATTACTTAACCTGTTATAGGTATAGGTTAAGTAATAATTGTAATTACGAAGCAATAAGATGCTTATCTTAACATACTAAGAAGGTTAGGTAAGGTCGGTGTTTTCTATGAAGCTTTTCAAGATAAACTAAAATATTCACAATAAATTAGTATGTCACATATGCACTTATTTAATAAGTCAATATTGACTGTAAGAAAGTGCGAGAACGGGTTGCAACGTAACACCGGCAGCATAGAAACTGCAGCAGTACCCTCAATAGACAATTAACACAGGCCCATCTATCATATCATCAACATAGGACAGTCAACATACCCTAATAGATCATCAACTCGACCATCGTAGCTTCAACCATTATCATTATTACACAAATGCTAAAATAATAACAATTTCGCTGACCACAGCAACGTTACTAATGGAAATAAATTCTAAATTCACCTAATTTCGACTTATGGTTTTAATCACCGTTCGACTCCCCAACAGGAAGAGTCAAACAACAAAATGATAATATTTAATAATAATAATACTAAGAGGACAATATTAAACCCTAAACTGATAAGATTGGATATTTTTAGTCTGTCTCCTATCCTGTAACCAGCCAAAGAGCTCCAATAGCATCCCATTCTTAGAGCAAATCCATTTCCACGAGAAACCAGCCACCCTTCGCAAACCACATGGATATCTACATATTTGTTATGGTCCGAAATCATATTACGGTTCCAGTAATAGTCTTCATGTAAACTGGCAAAAGAACCTTTGTTACGTTATAACTTTATTGTATTATAAATAATTGGTTTAAAATATAAAAAGTGTATGCTGAAAACGTTTTCTTGAAGAACTTGTAACCTAACCTAATCATGGATAGAGAGTAGATAATAGCACTAATTATGTACTCGTTCTCAAAGTCATTCCTTTGAGCGTATTTCCTCCCCTGAGGACAGGTTGCCAACAGACACGAATCTACGAGTCTGTGAAACAGGCTGTCAGTTCCCACCACTCCGAAAAAAGGCAGAATATGGGCAGATCCTAACACATCCCCAGGAACATAGCACCAACACAGCCCCCACACACACACCTGCTCCAACACACTAGTAGCACCAATCAGCACATCGTAACAGAGCCTCACCAATAGAGTCCCTTCCCCCCCCCCCACCAGCTCCAACACACTAGCACCAATCAGCACATCCCAACAGAGCCACATCACCAATAGAGTCCAACACACCACGAAACAGAAGCGGCGTTGATTACTTACCAAAGGCGTGATTTAGGGGCTACGCAGATCTCAGGATGAATGCAAGTGGCAGTGTTTTGCATCTAACTTTACGGTTGGGCTCTCATTGGGGGAGGGGGCTAGGAGGTGGGGGGGAGGGAAGGATAGGGAGGTAGGTAAGAGTGATAGGGAGAAAAGAAAAATGGGAAGGGAAGGAGGGAACACTGAATGAGGGAGATAAGAAGGGTGAGAAAATGGCATCAGAAGAATAGTGGTGATCATGTCTCCTGATTTTACACCGTGGGAGAGAACCTATTTCCTACACCGTGGGTGAGCACCTATTTCCTACACCGTGGGTGAGCACCTATTTCCTACACCGTGGGTGAGCACCTATTTCCTACACCGTGGGTGAGCACCTATTTCCTACACCGTGGGTGAGCACCTATTTCCTACACCGTGGGTGAGCACCTATTTCCTACACCGTGGGAGAGAACCTATTTCCTACACCGTGGGAGAGCATCCATTTCCATATTAGAATTCCTCCTTTCCCCACCTAGGAAACTAGTTAATGATCAAGTCAGATGCAAGATTTCTACCCATGATGTAATCCTTTTTTGCTATCATAGATAATTCATAATTCAAGATCTCTCGAGGACTCTTAAAGCCAAGTTGACTTTCTTCCCCACAAACTACTTACTGCCTCTTTCAAACTATTGACACTAATGGGCTCCATTCACCACCCTTTAACAGGCAGAGCAATTGTGACTACCTACCTTTTGCCACGAACCCAATATTATATATATATATATATATATATATATATATATATATATATATATATATATATATATATATATATATATATATATATATATATAACTG